TATCAGCCCCTCCATCTATCAAATAGAAAACGCATTAAAACTAAATACAAGCGAGAGATATTTGTTTTCTTTATTTATGCATCTCTCTATCCATCTATATATATATATATATATTTACATATATATATGTATATATATATATATATATATATATTTACATATATATATTTACATATATATATATATACATATATTTACATATATATCTGTCTAACAATTTGATTGTTTGTTCGTTCGTTTGTTTGTCTTCTTTTGTCTCTTTCTCTGTCTCCTCTTGTGCGAGAGATAGACAGAGAAAGAGAGACAGATAAATAGAGACAGATAAATAGAGACAGATAAAGAGAGGCAGAGACAGAGACAGAGAGAGAGAGAGAGAGAGACAGAGAGACAGAGACAGATAAAGAGAGAGAGACAGAGAGACAGATAAATAGAGACAGATAAATAGAGACAGATAAAGAGAGGCAGAGACAGAGACAGAGAGAGAGAGAGAGAGAGACAGAGAGACAGAGACAGATAAAGAGAGAGAGACAGAGAGACAGAGACAGAGACAAACTACTTCTGTCTCCTTCTTCTGTCTCCTTCTGCTGCAGGGTGTATACCTGAACTACCTTTTATAAACTGTCTCCTCCCGCTGCAGCAAAACAAAGACATCGGAGGCTGTCTCCTTGATCTACTGCAAGCGGAGGAGACACAGCAGCAGCAGCAGCAGCAGAAGCAGAACCAGCAGCAGAAAGGGAAGGAGACAGATGCTTGCAGCAGCAACAAGGAGACACTGGGGCTACAAAAGGAGACAGCAGACTCCTCCATGCAAATAAACCTGCAGCTGCCTTTTGCTGCAGCAGCAGCAGAGACAGCTGCAGCAAATGCAGCAGAGGAGACAGAGGAGACAACTAAACAAACAGCACAAGCAGCAAACATACAAAAAGTTAATATCGCTGCACCCGATTATATTACTGCTTTCTCTCAGGGCTTAAATGTAAATGCAAATACTCATATAGTTCACGCAGCAACAGCAGCAGCAGCAACGGCAGCAGCAGCATCAATAGCAGCAGCAGCAGCACTAGCAGCAGCAGCAGTATCAGCAGCTTCAGGAGCAGCAGCACTAGAAGCAGCAGCAGTATGAGCAGCTTCTGCAGCAGCAGCACTATCAGCAGTTTCAGCAGCAGCACTAGCAGCACTAGCAGCAGCAGAGACAGCTGCAGCAAATGCAGCAGCACTCGCAGCAGCAGCAGCAGCAGCAGCAGCAACAACAACAAGAAGGGTGTATGTGTGTTTGCTGAATTATGTTTTTCAGGCCTTGCATTCTTTGGCTGTCTCCGTCGATGTTTCTTGCTGCACTTTGAGTTTAATAGCTGGAGGAGGTTTTCTATTGATGATATTGCATGCAGCAGCAGCAAAGGAGACAGAAGGAGATGCTTCAACAGACGCATTTAATCTGCTGCAGCAAACTGCAAGGAGACAGCTAC